TTTATTTTATTTTACAAATTAGTAAACTTAAGCAGATCGGGAAGCTTCAAATTAAGAGAGATTATGATACAATGATTTGTATTCAACTCTTCTGCCTAGTAGAATCCTCTGCCACCTCTCATAATAAAATAAAGTTGAAAAACAGCACAATGTAGAAAGCAAATATCACTTTTATAAACCCTGTGTTCTTGGTTAGACCAGCCCATGGAGGACTGTATCCTAAGAATAAGGTATAATATAAAAAAAAAACTTCAGAGGATCTGAAAGGCAGACTGTAGGACAGAATTAATTTGATTCTAATTCTCTTACTTACAAACTACTATCAACCATTTTAACTAATAGGCAATCTTGGTCCGATTAGAATCAGATGCTACAAAATGTTTTGCAGAATCATCACAAACTTTTTCATTTGTAGACAGTCTAAAGGAAACTTTTTTTCCTCTTATTCTGTCTTATTTTGAAATCAAATTATACAAACTATACTGATGCTGATGAGAACATGGAAAATAATTAGGAAAAAGCAGTGTTTTTAATTGGATGGCTTAGGAAAGCAGATATATATGTCTGATTACACCATTCTAAATTGCCATCCTTAAATAAAAGATGATGAGATAATACTGGCCTAATAAGAATCCTGGCTGGCTGGTATACACTTAAATATAAGAGGATGAGATAATGATGATCATTACCGATTTCAGAAGTTGGCTTTTGGGTGGAATATGACATAATCCTGATAGTTGTTAAATACATTTTGTTTTATGGGGTGATAATGCATATCCTCTGGGCTTCAGACCAATAGAAATAGTAGCTGTCCTAAAATGCTGCCAAAAATGCTATTTTGTAATTTACAGCCTGTTGCAAAGGATGTTGGGGAGCTACATAACAGTTCAAAGATACTAATGGGAGGCTGGCTAGATCACGTAGTTTCAAGGGTATGCTCGGTATAAGTAAATTGTAAGCTCTTTAAGAGGTACATAATGGGCAAATGATATCGGTGGAATCTTGCCTCAGAAAAATCATTGAGTTGATGACAAGAGGTTTTACTGGGAAGGAGATAGCTCAGAAGGATTTGAAAATTTAAAGCACTTTTGACATTTAAGATAATTGTTCAAAGAGCAGTATAAATTGAAGCCGTGGTCCTTTCCTGAGCACCAATTTCTCACCACTGAATAGCAACACTATTACTGCTGCTGATGCTCCTTCTCCTGTTCCTCCTCATAATAGAAATAACAATCCCATATTTCCATTCAGAGGATCGAGGCATCTTTCAATACAAAAAATGCAAACTGTGCAAAACAAATAAACATTGTTAAAATACATGCACAAATCTAAAAGTAATACTGTTTCAATTTGCCCTCTAATACTAAATGAGAAAGCAGTGATTGTAAGTAGGATGGCTGGCAAAAAATAGGAAAACCAGCCAAGCATTCTACACTAACCGGCTGATCAGTTGGCCAACAGAAAAATAGTTGACTGTGTGGATTACATTACAGTCACAAAGCATATGGAGACATGGCATACAAATATACATGTTATAGAACGGCAATAGGCATAACTTGGCTGTAAAAAAATCCAGGTGACCACTAAATGACAATAAAATGTTTTCTGTATCTCTTTGCTGTCATCTACTGGTCATCTGGATTTTGCAGCCAATATGCCTGTTATGGCAATAACCCTAATATCAGGGGTTTTGAAGCCCTTTTATACTGCAAACTCATGTTTTCCTGCTGTTTTTGTTACTAACAGTGGCTAAGACAAAAATCAGTTCCGCAATTTGAAAGATTTCTTTGCTTTTCTGCAATTTATCGGTGTCATAGGAAGTCTGGCAAAACTATTCCCAAATTACATTGGAGAAGTATGTTTCGTGTCTAATTTAACCATTTGAGTTGCAAAACAGATTCAGGATAACTGAAAAGCTGCAAATGCAGTCTGCATTCAAAAGTATTCAAAAGCTGTGGTTTGGATCCAGGTTATATTTTCTGAGCATGGAAAGATTCCTTTTGTCTGTATGCATAAAACTGGAAATACACTGGATCATTTCTGCCAACCAACCTAAGAAATTAGTCATTTTCATCAGCCAGGGGAAATAATTTCCTAAAGCCACCCACTTCTTTGGATGAGATACACATACATAAGGAAAAAGCAATGCAGTGGTGCTTTTAAATGTTAAGACATGGTTCTGAATTATAATTTATCAAAATTAGCAAATCTGATATATTTTAAGTCCATCTAACCTTTATTTTTAAAGAAATACTTTTGCCTTTTACTTTATTTGTTAAACATTATTTTGGTACCCATGTATAGCAATAAAATATATGAATTGTTCTCATTTAATGACTAACCACTTTAAAAGGTTGGCTTCGTAACTAGTGTAAATTTCTATAATTTTCTTTATCTTCCGTTCAGTCTCATTTTTAGCTTCTCACTTGTTTAAAAGTAATTGCAGCAAGAAAAATGAATGTCACAGTATTACTGATATGCTCAGAAGAACTCAGTGGGACTAATCACATGAATAGCATTAGTGCCTAAAGGAATAACAGTACCCTAACAAGCTTGTCTATGAACTGGGTAGTAGCTTTCCACTAATAATGTTGCACTCTCATCTGTCAGTGTTTAGATAAATATTTTATTCTACCATAGACTTTAATTAAACTTATGAGCTGATGCCTGTTATGTGAGGTAGAGATACAGAAGCCTGTACTTGAGAATTTGTTCTCTGAACTTCTCTGGAACTGGATTTAAATAAATAATCAAGTGGATACCAAAATAGAAACAAATGGGGCGGTGGGAGAAAAAGTAATAAAACTGAAGAGAGAATCACACTATATTTCTCTTTTCTGTTACAAAACTAGTTCTTGGTCTTCCTTCTGTAATACATCAGACAATTATTCAGATGTCTATGTTGGGAGTACAACATAGGTGCTTCCTCTCTTTGCCAGATTATCTACATCTTAACAAATTCTGATGATTTACAGTATATCAACTTGCTGGACCATCTAAGCTATATCTGCTTTGTAGGGA